ACGTGCAAGAGTTCGGCTGTCTCTGTGCTGTAACGCAGCTGCACACTCCTGCAAAGAAGGGTCGCGGTGTCGGGCCAGCGCCCAGAAGGGCCCCCAACCCCCAAGCGGAAGAGCAGTTTCGGTCGCACAGCAACACCAAATAAACACAATGTTCTACTCCTGAATCAAATATGTTTAAAAGCATCATAAGGAATGCAAAAGGAATTCGAAGCTGCTGTAGCATCAGTTGACGGAAGGCTATGTGTCCCATGAGCGCCCTGCCACGGCTGCATTGTTGCGATCGCCCGGCACGTCAGCCGCTTGATTGCCCCTGCGAAGCTCCTCTCCTCTTCTATACACACAACGGCATTACTGTGCTTTCATTTCAGAAAGCAACTGCTGGGTGTTCTGGTGCCCAATAGCCCACTGGCGCTCACGGCGCTATTTGAGCGTACTCGGGGGTTTGCTATTGAGGGCTAACTGAGTGTATAACACTTGCCTGCAGTGTCCGCGCATGCGGCAAATTGGGCTTGTTTTTGCTCGCATGAGGTGCTCTCCTGCGGCCGTAGTTGCAGCATGCAGCATGCTCTGTCTGAAGTTCGAACATGTACTCCTGGAGCTTGTGTGCGCGCTACATAGTAAGCCCCAAGTAACTGCTTAACAATTCTCAACAGTGTTAGAACATGAAGCAGAAAGGGCTTGGTTGTGCTTGCATCCAGGCTTGCCTTGCAACGCTAGTTGTAGCGAGGTGCGCTATGGTGCCTAACACGCCACCAACTCTCTGCGCCACCCCCCTCACCCTTCGGCCGCTGTACCCAGGGAGCCAGGGGACCGGATGAGTGGTTATATGATAAGTATTTTGACTCTACCTCCACACATCACACACAACGAATATAAGTTCATTGGAACCACTATCCAATGAGGGGAATCTGGAAACTGCGTATGAGCGAGGTGAGGCTCCGCCATTTTCGAGAGCATTTACGACAGTTCCCGTTTTACAAGTACTTCACCAGCGGACTGATCTAGTTTGCTTTTTAGCTTCCGCGACCTATCTCTTCAACTACCTGACGCAGGGTCTTGGAGGACCAACTGGATCCCACGGTACCACCTTGAACTACTGTAGAGTTATTTCAGGCAAGCCCACTTTGACCAGACTGTTTTATAAGGTGTGAGCAGCCTAGTGGACGTAGACGTACCGATGGCATCACACGAAAAACACGGGACTTGATTGGCCGTTGCATTTGCGTTCTAAGGGAGAAACGATTACAGCAGCATCCTGCCCCGGTAGCAGTTGGTGCTTATCATTAGACAGACTACAATGAAGCTGAATGTGGATCTGTGGATGGATTATCTCCGTTGCTCGTTGAGGGCATGGGTCTTAGAGTGACTACATGCGTTAGCATACGCAGCATCCAAAAGGTAAAATAAATCCGTTGAATGCATTATACCAACCTGCCCGTAGCCCGTAAAATGAACACTCGTGTGTATTTCCCTGTTTTGCAGCTAATCATCAGACAACCACATTTCGGCCAGCTGGTTCTCCTGCCGGCTAGCCATCAAGGAAGCATTGTGCACCCACTTTTAGTTCACAGTCGCCTCATGCTTGTTACTTGAGCTGTGACTGAATAAGGCAGTAACTGGTGGGGAGGCGGCNAGTTCACAGTCGCCTCATGCTTGTTACTTGAGCTGTGACTGAATAAGGCAGTAACTGGTGGGGAGGCGGCAGTGATCAAACCTCACTCTTAGCTCTCGGTGCAACGTAGAAGCAACGCAAGTCTTCTGCGACTGGGTGTGCAGTCAGCATACGCATTTTCTGTAGATTGCTTTCTGCAGTGGAAATTGTTGGAAGGAGCTCACCAACAAAGTCAAGGTCACGATTACTTTCCATATCAACAATTTCCCGTTTTTCCCACGGATGTTGTTCTCCCTTCCAGCTGTTGTCTTCCAGGTGTGCGTTGCCATTGAAAAATAAGGGGAGCGAGTGATTTTTCCAAGGCTGTCCCTCGCGCATTAAAAATAAGCGCTCACGCAGATCGCCGAAAACGGAGCCCCGCTTTACGGTCGTCTTCATGCGTCGGTGTTGCTGGCCAGCCTAGTGGTCTCGGACATCGATCTGCTGCAGCACGCGAGGAGGAAGAAGACAGCAAATTAATACAAGTATGCAAGATTTCTCCGTTTGAAAAACAAAATAAGAAGTGTCCTTCGTCGTGTGTCATTTTTGGTTGTTCTTGGCATCCTTTCCAGGCGACCCACTCCTGGAGTGGCCCGAAGTGCGCGCCGTCAGACATCTCGGATTCTCACTAGACCAGCTCAGAGGGCGNCACTCCTGGAGTGGCCCGAAGTGCGCGCCGTCAGACATCTCGGATTCTCACTAGACCAGCTCAGAGGGCGTAAGGATATACAAGGATGGTAGTTTCCTTTCATTCTGAAAAGGGACAGTGGTATGCAAATGATCGATTGTAAACCTATGTACTTGTGGTGTGGTGCGTATTTTATATGCACGCTCGTTGTATTTGGGCTTCCGCCTTCAAGCCGTCGCTGGCTTCTTCTGGTCCATCAAGGGCGGGTGGGCGGGCCTTCCCTGCGCCTTCGCATCTGCAGTCACCAACTAGAAATTAAAAGTATATCGAACAATAGAGCTTCGTTTTTTGATGAATTTTGTACATACTGGCGGTTGACGGGAGGCTGCAGATCACGAGGAAGGAGGCCGCAGGCCATCATACCGAGGTCATGAGCACCCACCGAAACTCCCAAGCTTACGTTGTGCTCCCACCGTTCTGTGCATAAACTCGGGGTTGAAGGGAATAAGGTAGCTGAATGGCGTATACTGCACGCTGAAGAGATCTTGGTTGTTCCCCCGACAGTATCAATTCCAGTGGTCCCTCCCACCTCACCAGCCCACTTGGGGTAAGCGAAAACAATGCCCAGCGGTACTGCAGGCTCATCGGAACGTCTTCGAACCCCATTGGCCTTGTCGTTGCAAAGGGGGACCACCATCATCCGTTGCACGCGTAAGTTGACGCCGCAGCATATGCAGAGCTTACATGCAAACCACTTGAACGCTATTGAATATGACCGAAGTTAAATGAATTTAAAAAAGCGAGAGCTCTACATGTATTGCCGTGTACGCAGCTCCCAAGGCTTTTGTCGAGCCAAAGGCGGAAGACCAGCGATGTGAGTTCGTTATTCCCTTTCCCTTCCGCTCCGTCTGACCCCTTGGGCTGCTTCACGTTGTTTCCTGTAATTGCCCGTATTTTTCCATCTGCACTCATGCATTCTAGCTGGCCATCCATTTTTATTCAGTGTCGCCCGCCCGCTGGTTTGGGGGGCAACGATACATCGTGGTTACGACTCCCCTNTATATGCATATGTGTGTGCATTCATTTGGACCAAGCGCTGCTGCTGGCGTCGGTAGAGCTTGTGCATCCACATAGTGCAGCACGGTCTTTCTTACTAAGAGCAAAAGGCACGCAACTCGATCAAAAGCCGTGTGTGGGGAGCTTCCTTTCTTTGTTTGCAGGCTCCAAGTACTACGATGACGTGAGGCGTCGCCGAGACCCCGCGCCGCCTCTGCCGGGCGATTCCAGGCACGATGGGCTCTGGGGGCCAGCCAGGCATCAGCAGAGAGCGGTCCCTTGGAGAGATCCAGCTCCGCTTAGGCAGACCAAAGCCTTCGGGTTGGCGGGCATGATAGGAGGCACTCCACGGGAAGATTCCCAGCCGCCTGCGACCGTAGAAGAACGCAAGAGGGTTCGCCTGTTGTTGCACTATGTTTCCTTTTCCCTATTGTCGTGCCCTTGACCTTTTTCTCCCTGTGCCATACATCGTGCCGGCTACCGTCTGCACGCACGGTATCTCAGCCAACCTTCCGGATGTGTTGATGCTGACGAATGGATTGGCTAGATGTCTTTGTGTGTTGTTCGTTTTGGAGTAGGAGGCCTCCAGAATGCCGTCTCGCCCTGTCAGTGAAGCAGACAGTCGCTACAGTGCTGCACTTGACGACGAGAGGGGAGACGAAGATGATGCTGCTAATTTTGTGTCGCCAGAGCCGCCGCTCTCCCCGAAGGTTGTGGTGGACTGGGACAAAACATGTTCCTCTTTAGATGGGAAGGAGCCATCCGCGCGTAAGGACAGGACAGTGTGTAGCATTTTCTTGGACTGCATAGCTTACCCTCTTACCTGCACTCCCGCAACTATTGGAGGGCTGAATATAGTACAGGTCTTTATTCCCTACGGGGAGGGTGGAGTGCTAATTAGTATCTTGGTGTATGAAGAGAGCATATTGTAGCGCATCCTAGCATTGCGGTTTGAGGGGCCGAACGGAAACAGATTAGCAGCATAAGATTGGCAGTTTTCTCCGGGGCCTAGAAGACTATCCGTCCATAGCTTGACGGAGAAGGATGCAGGTTTCTACACGCCCNAAGAAGTAGCTTTTGGTGATGCTTCCCGTGTGGCGTGGGCTGTGCAGCTGCGAGCTACTCGACAGACGAAGCGGTGCTTCGAGGGTATATCGGCATCGCGCATGCTCTTCTACGCCACTTTGAGGAGGCGTTAGGGACCCGCCAGCGAATTACAGCAGGAAGCTTAGAGTGTGCAGAGACGGTTTGCAAGGCGCTTAATTCAATTCAAGACTCAAACCCCAGATTCCAGTTGCTTGCGCAACGCATTGCAACTGCGATTGACCTTTTACACAGGCGCAAAACGCTGGAAGACAGAGACGCAGCAGAACGAGGGGTTATTTACGGGGAAGTGGTGAGACAACATAAATCCGTGGTGCATGTAGGGGCATTGATGCGGTGAGAGCACAGAAACAGAAGTACGCCTCTAGTGGCTGATCTCATTGTGCTTTCGTTCAGGAATTCCCGTACTCTGGAGTCGAAGCAAACTATTGGCCCCCAGTTCCGCGAGTCTACGCATCACCCTTTTACATAGGCCGTTCCAGCGGTGTTGATTTGCGCCCAGCGTCTCCTCTCTCCCTTCAACACACACAGGAAGAGGGGATGAACATGTGGAGCCCGCCAAAGTGCTGCACTAGCTTCCCCTTCCAAACAGTGCAGTGTGGGACGAGACAGCAGAGACGCATTGCTGGGCCTCCTACTCCCAAAGTTGCGCCCGTGCGCGATGCAGCAATTAACAGGGAAACCTATCCTGAAACACCTCTCCAGGTGGAGCCTAGCCCACAAAGGCAGTGTGAGAGGGAGGTTGAGAGACGCAGCACTAGAATGGAAGACACCGCAATTGCTGTTCCGTCTGGGAAACGTGGGAACTTCTGCTCCCAAAGCAGCGGTTCGGTTGTGGTATCGGGCGACAAGGAAGGCATGACCTGCAGACCCTCTACAGGAACTTCCTCTGTATTTTTGCAAGCTGACCAACTCCGCAAGACTTCTGCGACGGAGGCATCCAGCCTTGAAAGGCCTTACAACACTCTCGAATCCACGGGGAAACCTGCAGTGGTTGCCCCTGTCCTTTCTTCGTCTAACGCTCGAACGCGGTCTCCACAGTCTGCTGCTGGTATCCCTAGGACCCAGCTTGCCGGGCCTCACCTCGGGGGGATGACCTCCAATGCTAACCAGACCCACAGAGCCGGCTGCACTGGCTTACCTTTTCGAGAATTGGAAGGCAACTTGCATGTGCGGCCACTTGTTCTGAGCGAAACTCACGTACTGACGGACAAGGACAACTCCCAATGGAAAGAGGATCCGACCCGTGAGTAGCAGCTGCCTTTTTCAGTATGTTCCTGAGGTTCAGCTAAGTGCCTTCGATGCACGTATTTGCACACGAGTACACCACTGTTCCCGGGGAGGTGTTTTTGTGGCTTCCTTGTGTACAGGAGCGTCAGCTGTGGAGGCATTAGCCCTTATTAGGTGCGCCATAGGGCTTATTGTCAGTGGAGAGGGGCCCGGGTTTGTCGAGAAGCAGTTTTTCAGATATTTCAGGCCGGACAGCTATCAGAGAGAGGTAGACAGGCCGCTCATTCCGGAGGGCATGACACCCGCGCAAGGCAAGTACCTCCTCCTCTGCTACGCCATTGCAAGGGTTGAGGCTGAGTACGGAGCAGACCCAGCGGCGAGAGACACGCATCTATACCTTCGCGACTTACGAAGAATGGAAGAAATCATTGCTAACCCTTCGTATCCCCAGGGGAAAACTTCTATTGAATCTCACGATGGTAATGAAGGTAAAAAAATCACCACCTCGCGTATGTGTGCACAGCCTGCTCGTGAATCATTTCAGAGCTGCGATGGATTGCACCCATGAATGTAGATCTTATTCGAACGCTGACCTTTACTGGTTATATGTCAGTATCGACGGTACTTGCGTCTTAATTAAGAACGTAGCCCTACGCAAGAGACAAGGCTCGGGCCTGCAGTAGCACTGTACGTCCCCTAGTGTCCAAAAACAGCGCTGGTCGCTGTTTTCGTTGCGGCTGCAGATCGTCGCAGCGGTTGCTCCGGGCAAACCTCTTCGAATGCTGATGCGGTGGGTTTGTTCTTCAGGACAAGAGTCCCAACGCCCCCAAAGTGCGCATTCTCTGCCAGAACGGTCACCGGAGGAACGGATGGAGCGCCATTTGCCTCTTACCATCCTTACTCTTCCTTCAAGCTCCCGCCGGCAGGTCACCGGAGAGGTTCGGCGCGAACAGTTTCCTCCAGTGCACTCTCCAATGCATTCTGAAGGCACAAATTGCGTGTCCCCGGGACCAGTGTCTGAGCAGCCCATGCAGATAAAGAAAGAGAACTCCTTCGGGAGTGCCAGCAGTGCGACCCCCACTTCTCCGCAGCTTAGCTCCATTAGCTTACCGAAGCCCCTCCCCAGTCTTGGCGGGTCAGGGTCGAGCTTTGAGAAGTTGCCTACTGCGGATCAGCCAACGGGGAGTTCAACTGGACAGGTAGGGCATCCGTTGCGAGCTTCCTCTTCAAGTTCTCTTTCTGCCGTATTGACGGGGGGTCTTCCTGATGTCCCCACTGCAACCGAAAGGTGGGAAAGCGAGCCAAGCAACAGCAGCACCTCGTCGCGGCAGGTAACTCTGCCGACTCCAACACTTGCACGGGCAACGTCGTCCGCTACCATAGCCCAGTCCACCGCTCCCTCAGGGCTGTTGGAGCTGCGCAAAAACAGTTCATCATTGGATAAGGTCTCTGAAAGGTCAACACCGTCGGGAGGGGGCAGTCGCTCCAAGCTGCTGATGCCTAAGGGAAGTCTTGACTCCATTATGGTAGGAGAAGAAGGCCTGAAGTTGAGCACTCGGAGCGTCGTACGTGATTCTCTCAGTGGCGAAGTTGCTTCTGTAGTTTTTGAACCTCCAAAGAACACCGCCGGACAATCTTTACTAGACACTGCAACTTCTGCAGCTATGAAGGAAATTGCTCTGCCCCGCTCCCCAGGCCTGGCAGTTTCAGCGTCTTATGAAGATGGAAAAGCATAGTCGTAGGTCTCGTGTCATCGAAGAGTCGCCTTCCGGTGGACTCTCAAATGATGAAATGAGTACATCCCATAGCCTAAATGTCCACCACCCTTAGGTTGAGGACTGGAGGCTCTTGATGCTTAAGGGTACCTCTACGCCGAGAATAGTAGCTCGGACAGTGAGGTTCCTTGTGCCTACCAGCTTTTTGGGGGCCATTTTCCATAGACTGTTTCTTCATTTGCTTTCTGGAGTTGTTTCCTGGCGTGTGAAAGCAAAACTGGATGGCGCGCAAGCATTTGAGGCCATATAGGCCTGTTCTGCAGGCCGACACGTCCGCAAATGTTAGGCACTGGCCACGTCATTTTGGCAGCCGCACGATTTCCTTCAAGGCCAAACCACTAGTGCATGAGCAAAAAGGCTGGCTTTTGGCTCCAAGGGAAATACAGATGTGCCAACTATAACGCTAAGCTACTCGCGCTGCGGCGGTTGGTTGAGACAACAAAGCAACCCAACAAAGCTTAATTTTTCGTCTGACTGTCCAAACTGTAGATTAGTGTTTTTATGATTTTCTCGTAGCACTGCCTTCGGTTTCCACGGTCAGAACGAACTCGACCCGTGTGCAGTCCAGTACAGCGGCTGGTCGAACACAGAATACTCTCGCAGCACAGTTGAATATCGGTAGGTCCACAGGTATCCCATGGGCAGGTGGCTGAGCAGGACCGCTGCTATCTGACGAATGCGGTCTGCCTAATGAACCTTCGCCAGAAATTCGTAACTTGATGTTTCCTCTCCATTATTTGGAACTAGGTTTCAGGCTTCATAACATGGCTCGGCGGACAGGGGTGTTAGTCTCTGACAACCCCTCTCCTAGACTCGTATTTGGTTAACATCTCTATGAGCCACCTGAGTGTGTATTGAACCTGTAGCAAGTTACCAACTTGTCGTCTTCTCGAGATTTGAGAACTCAAAGTTCGGCTATCGTCTCAAATCGTCTAGGCAAACCCTGAGGTCCCCTGCTGAAGCCCAAGGGCATTACAGGATAGCTGTAGTGAACGAGCTTCTACTCTAAGCCGCTATTACGATCAAGCACATACTGTAACTAGGTGTACACCTGTACCCTGGCAGCGCTCTCCTCGCCCCCTTCATATGCCACTACTACTCATTATTAACGGTAGTTCTACACAACGGTGGTTTCCGTTTTGTGCTACCCAGCGTCCTGCCCTTCCCCTGCCTAGCCCCTCACCCACCGGCTCACATTCCCCAGCGCACCTGGAGGAGCTTCAGCTTTCCGCATCTTT